AATCCTATGTCTTCATACAAAACAAATAGAAAATAAAACAAAAAAAAACAAAATTCAAGATATGTTACTAAGCTCTTACAATTGAAGATCAACATGCCTTTTTAAAAAAAATATATATATATATATATATTGAAAGAAGATGTACCTGATAATCAAGAGGAGTGGAAACCCAAAATCGATATTTTAATATGCCAACCGCTTGCACTGGAAATACCTAACCCTGAATTTGATGCTTGAAATCAATATATTAGAGGCTATATGTAGTGTAGACATAGAAAATAAGAATTGATAAGAATACAAAGAGATATTGATAAGAACATTAAAAGTATGTTTATCTTAATTTAAGTTGCTTAAAGTACGTAACTTTGGGTAGGAAATAAGAATCCTATAATATTAAGAATTCTTATAGGAAATAAAACCATAATCATCCAAATAACTTTGGGTAGGAAATAAGACCTTAAGTGGCCCGTACTATGCACGTATATAAACCTGTACGTAATAAATTTACAAATGCGTTATTAAGATAGATTTTACCGACCTTAAAAGACCACCTCTATTATATCGAATCCTTTAAGTGCATGGACTTCTATGATGTGGGTCCACACACGAAATACTACCCACCATCTGGGCAGAGATGTATTGTGATTAAGGAATTATTAGCAGAAATATATTTTAAAAAAAAAGACGGGCGGAGGACACTACGGACAGAGGCCTTTCTCTTGGATTGGAGGACACTACGGACGGAGGGTCGGGTAGGGGCCTTCGGGGTGCAAAACTTCAACAAATATCTAATGCTTATCTCATCTTTCTTTAGCTATGATAATGGGATTTTATTTCTTTGGTTGATGACACTCCATTTTCTTTATGGACTTTTCTAGAATTTTTCAATCAGATGAAGTGCCATTTCTCTTTGTACATCAATTATGCATAGGGACTGTGAGTCTTGTAAAAACTTTCTCCAGCTAACTTTCTTTAATTTCCATGTCTAGATTGTTTGTATGTTGTTCTATATATGGGTAGATTATCTTAAAATAAAAAGGATCTCTGATGAAGCTGTTAAAAAAAAAAAGAATAGGACACTATAAAAAAATATATTATCATTTATTCCTATATATCTAATAGAGGAGATTTATATCTCTTTTATTTATATCGCATTACTTTTCAGTTCCTTTTTTGGGTAGGAAATAAGAATAATATAATATTAAGAATTTTTATAGGAAATAAGAATTGATATATATCCAAACAAAAAAGAAGCAAGTCACGTAGAAAACTACTTGCCATCTCGTTAAGCCACGTAGGAAAGAAAAAATATGAAGGGATAAGTATGAGAATACGACTTTATTATATATATATATATATGATTTATTAAGAATCCTATTAGGAAACTACTTGCCGTATCGTTAAACCACGTAGGAAAGAGAAAACATGAAAGGATAAGAATGAGGATACGACTTTATTATATATATATATGATTTATTATATTTCACTTATGGTAATTATTAATATAAAACCACATTCCATTATATTTCTATTATAATGGTAATAAACATGAAAACATTCTAACCAAAACTCTTCACCTACTTATGGTTGTTGAGAAATATTAATATTATTGAAATAGAATTATAATTACATGTACCAAGAAAATACACATCAAAATAAAAGAATAAAAACAACAAATCAAATTTAAAAAAAGAAAAAAATGCTACAAACAAGAATAAAAGAAAGGAATAAAAAAAGGGTAAACTCATCGTCTTTGCTAATGAAATTTGATTTGCTTTACAAAAATCAACAGCAAACTGGGAATAATTATGGTGGAATATTTACATCTTATAATTAACAAACACAACACTTAAAAGAATGCAGAAAGTTTATATTCAAAGAATTAATATTTATTTAAAGAATATGGTATCTCATTTCGTTTTAAACAATTTTGACTAACAAATTCAATTCATATAATATGTGAAATAGGCATACTAGACCATGTAAACAATATGGATACAAAGACTAAAGTTTTTCTTTGCATGAAAATTCATGTCACTGAAATTTTTGAACAAAGGAAACTGGTCCTACGTTCGAGTTATAAATAATCAACCAATTAAAATTGTTATAATTGTACTAATAGGTACTATAGTTGTACTATTAATCAACGTATTATGTTTGTACTAAAAAGAAATTGGTCCTACATTCAAATTACACAACTTATTATAATTGTACTAATACTAGTTTCAAAAACATTGTACTAATATAATTTTTTCGGACAAAGAAAATAAATATACAAGAAGGAATCAAAATTTATTGAAATTATGTCAAAATATTGAGTTTCTGTTCAAATCTCATCTTTTCAATTGTTAAAATTAGATGACTTCATTAGGATTTCCGCCGTTGATGTTAATTCAGACGAGACATATCTAAATTTTGACTGGTAAATAATTTCATCAAGAGATCAAGACTAGAGATGAAAGCACAACATAAAACATATCCTCGAACAATAGAAATAAAAGAAGCCTATTTATTTACTCTAATGCCCTTTTTGAAATTGAAAGTTTTGTTATTTATTTCATAGATGTTTATTAGTTCTATTGACTACTCCAACTTTTAATATTTTGAGGTATGATCCTTGCTTAACAATATTGTTTTGTTTATAATAGCTTATAATATTATGATTTTATCTATGACACCATGGGTATCAATATTATCTAAAAAGCTCAAAAACCATTTTGACAAATATAAGATTCATGATTTCAATGTAAATGATACTTTCAAAACAATAACTTTCAAAGAAAAAGAAAAAGTTTATGATGTTAACAATTTGTATTTGCCAAAATATTTTAGTATAAAAAAATAAAATTTTTGAGACAATATAATCAAATGTAAAGCCCGTGAGTTTTTACTAGTGACTACTAATAAACTTGACAAAACACATTTGAAAGAAGGGAAACTGATTATTGGTCCTTTACGTATCACTGTCTACTAATTTGGAGAATGGCCTGTACACTGACTAAAAGAAAGATTTTACGAATGATGACAGACAAGAATTTGGAATTTAGAGAACAAATCTAATGTGTTTCTATTTCTAGTATGCATTTTTTAGCCAATCTGCTTAAGGGAGACTGTTTGCTTTCTTTGTTTGTTTCTCTTTTACTTCGTTTCTTTTTTTTTGGGCTGTTCTAGCGGGTGCCCATTACCGTTAACACACCTAAATTCTACCTAATCTACCATATATATACACATTCTAACAAATATTATATTCCCTTGCATTTATATACTTTACTTAATTAATTTTACTTTTTCAAAAATCTAACTTCTTAAGTATATCTTAACAACTGCCCATTGGGCACACATACCCTTTTTTTTTTTTTAAAAAAAAAAAAGAGATCCACCTTGAGATGGTGGAAGTTTTGCATCGAATTTTTCTATTTTATTGAGAAATACATCTATACTATATTAAAAGCACAAGTTCGAATTAGTGGATTAGTGCGTTAGATTTCATATTTGATAACATCCTCAATATGTAAGTTCATGTTATTTTTTAGCCTCGCCTTATTTGTGATAATTGAAACCATTTATATACGGAAATATTATTTGCACTCCTACAATTTGTTTGTCATATAGTCTACAAATGAAAATTATATGATTAGAATGATAGTGGGAGTGTGATTAACAAAAATGGAAGTGCAAATAATATTTCGCTTTATATAATGTCAACACTAAAATCGTTACTTTAGAAGTTATTTTGATATTGAAACATATTACCTTAATTTTCTTGAGGAATCAAAGTTCGTACAGGAAACCAATTCAAAGTTCGTATTTGTAACTTCATCAGTTAGTTTATATTAGACAGCTAAACTTTACTTCACTTGGAGGAGGATGTCTATCACTAAGTAGAACTCTAGCATCAATGGTGTTTTAGAACTTCGAAAATAAGTGAAGGTATATTAGGTATCACAAAAAAAAAAAGGAAGAAACACTATTATATTATATAGTAATAGAAATAGATAGACAGATGTATACAAATTAAAGTTTGTGATTGATCAAATTACTAAGAATAATATATTACGTAGTAGTGGCAAGACAAAAGGGTAAAAAATAAGGGAAATAATAATACTAATAATAATAAAGTGAGAGAGAGAAGAAATAAATGGAAAAAATGGAAAATGGAAATAAGTAAAAGAATAATGGTAATTTCATCCCTAAACATGAATTCGGAAGGTAAATTGAGTAAATTAACAAGTCTTTAGGAAAGCAAATTGCAATATCTGGGGTAAAGTGATACGTTACGTCAGGGGACAATTTTGAGACCAAACTGTTGGGGGACTTAATGCAATTAGCGTTATTCTTTTTCCGGTTTTGTTTTGTGTAGTACATTGACACTATGATTTGATCAGGTCTTCTAATGAGGACTAACATCCAAGATCTGAATCCCTTGTGATCAGGTCCGTCAGTTATAGGTGCAAGTAGTTTGGCATTAGTTAATTATCATTCCACGAAATTGGTGGCTGAATTATTAATTAATCTAATCTTTCAAAATTTAGGAAAATTTTATGGTTCGTTTTAGATATAATTTCCTCAACTTGTATTTCTCACTAAAGATAATAGTTTAAATTTTAAATATTTAATAATGTTTAATCTAAGGGCCAATAACACTTCTTTCACCATCCAACGGTATATTTCACTAAATTATAGGTATGATACCCAAAAGGAATAGTAAAATCTCCCCAAATTTTTAATGCTTCCAAAGAGTTGCCTCGTAATGTTTGTTCTTTGAACTTGTCATATAAAATTCACTGTTATGTCTCTTTTTTCTCATTCTGGTTGTAATTAAGATAGCACATGATAACTAAACAAAATCAATACTCATAATAGAAAGTAATTCAGAAGCAGAGAATTGCATGATTCCCCTTGCAGCTTTTGCATGCTCCCGTAGAATAAAGCCAATTAATAACTCCCAACTTCCAATTTGCAGCAGAAGTATCCATTTAAATGCCAGAGTTCATAAACTGTTACATAATCCTAGTAGATTCAAGCTTCAATGGTAGTCTTTGAAACCAGGAAGTGCCTAATTTCTGTTGTTTCAGATCACTTGGTTTCAGATCACAATGAACATCAGTTGTTTCACTTTGGTTGTGAAGATAATGCAATGCTGAAGCAACATCAGTTGCAATATCTAGCCTCTGAGAAAGATCAAGACTCCTTAGTCTTGTTGTTTGATCAGCTTTCTCTGGATGCAACCACGAATCAAGATCTCCATTTTCCATAAACTCATAGATGAGAGCCTTGAATTCGTGGCCCTTGGAATCAACGCTGGAGCAATAACTTAGGACAGAAACTATATTTCTATGGCGGATGTTTCTTAATGCTTTGCACTCAGCCTTGAAGCTTTTGGAACTCCCAATTTTCTGAAGGTCAAGAACTTTAATTGCAATAAGCATACCTCCATGTTTATCAAGTCTGCCATTGTAAACAGCACCAAAACTTCAGGAGCCAATTAAGTTTTCTGGAGAAAATCCAGAAGTGGCATGACGGAGTTCTTCATAAGAAACTCTTAAGAGCTTATCAGCCATTGTGACCATTCTTTTGCTTCTTTTCCGGTATACCACAGAACAGAACAACAATGTTGCAAGAACAATACACGTGAAAGCTGGGATTAAAAAGTGTCAGCTCAGTAATGAAGAACTTATACGATCCATGACAATGAACTTATAAACGAGTCCAGACTCCAGAGACGAAATAGGTTTATGAATATCTGTTGTGATCTTCTGCATTATGGGAAGGCACAATTAGAAGTTAAATTCCTAATGTTTTGCATTATGGACTAATTAATTTTCACCTCCGCTTCATTAACCAAAAAATTATAATCAAATTAGAAGTTGTCTTCAGCCAATCTATCATTGATACTTTGTTGAGCCGAAGTAAGTGCATCTCTGTAAAATTTTATCGAAGCGGATGGTTGCAATTTTTTTTTTAAAAAAAAGAAAAGATAAGGAATTTCGCGAATTATGCGCTTTCCAATGGGATTAATCTGAAATGCCGGTTTAAAGGTCTTCTTACTAAGTCAAAAAAGATGTACTGTGCAATGTCTTAAATCTTAATAACTATGGGCCATTGTTTAGACCTGCTTGTACAAGAAGTGAACTCCGTAGTTGATAGTTGCTGTTTTAATGTTGATGTCTTAGATCTTAATGACTATGGGCCTGCTTGTACAAGAAGTAAACTCCGTAGTCAGCCTGTTGTCTTAGATCTTAATGACGATGGTATTTTAAACTTTAGTACTACTATAGAATAGTATTTTTTCGACGAGTTTTTTGACATCCAACATGCAAAGATGAAAAGTTGCTACTATTAAGCTTTAAGGGTACTAAGGATTTCAAATGACAGCCACGAAATCGATCTAACGATGCTGGAATTTTCAAATCTAGATTACCCAATAAATTCGTTTGTTGAAAAAAAAAAGATTACTCATAAAATTGGTTAAATAAAAAAAATTAATCAAGGAATTCAAAAAGTCAAATGCAGTTAGGAAAAATTGTTTTTTTTTTTCCATATCACACCCTTTTTTCATCAATTTTGACATTGACTGCAACATTAGTTGTACCATCGTTGTTGTTTTGGTTGAGAATAATTCTTTTAGTTGGGATTTTTTTTTTGGATGTAGGGGTTTAATTTCCTTTGGATACGTTTTGTAGCGGATGATTATGTGGATATTGGTCTTCAATGATGGAGACACAGAGATATGCATATTATTAATTCCGTTGTTAGACTTGGCCTAAACTATTGATTCTATAGTGCAGCGATGGTGGTACCTTCTGTGTGGTAGTAGAAAAGGAAATGAAAAAAATGTAAGAACAAAGGCAGAAAAAAAAATACGTTTAATTTTTAAGAGGTTTTAAGGGTTTTTGAATTGACATTTATGTCCCAATACATCTGGTTAATAGAGATGATGATTAAGAGGAAGCCTTCTTTTGTGTGCAATACTTGGATCTTCCCAATTAACTCAGAACACAAGAATGTTGATATGCTAGAATCTGTCGGTTGGCTTAGGTGAGTTCTGTTCAAACCATGGTATAGGTAGTTGGGTTGGGGTGGCCAATAGCCCACAATATGACTACTATAAATCTTGACACAACAAACTTGGAAGAAGGGAAAATAGTTATTGGTTCTTTACGTATCACCACCTATCAATTTCGAAAATGACCTATACGCCTATTAAGAAAAATGGGTTTTACGAATGATGACAGACATGAATTTGGAAATCAGATCATAAATCCAACATGTTTCTTTACGAATGGGTTAATTTTTTTTTTTTTTCAAGAAGTCCATCTTGAGATGGTGGAGATTTTGCATATAATCCTTCCAGTTTGTTGAGAAATAAATGAAATTAAAATGATTGAGCAAACGTAAAAGCCTAATTTTCCAAATTACATTTCAATCTTCTCCGTGACAAGGGGCCTTGGCTTAGCAACGAGACCAAGTCCTGAATCACTTGTTCACGCTGCTATTTCTTCTGCCTATGCATTTACTTCTCTATTTATTTATTTTTTTGTTCATTTTTTACTTTTTCCTTTTAATTGAACAATAAAGTCCATGAAGCCAGTTAAAACTTGGAATTAATAACAAAGTTCTTTTCATTTTCATTTTTTTTGTTCATCAATAAAGAGAGGGTCAGTTTGTAGTCAAAATCCGACTGTTTTAAATCTTGAAACATGCATTAATTATCCACTAAATCATAAGCTCATTCTCATTTAGCAAACAACTCCGCATTCTGCTGTAAATTCAAGGTAGAAATTCTTTCCAAGTATCACAGCTAGACAGGTTTTTCTTCCGAATTTTGATGTATTTTTTTTAAAGGTTATGACCCTTTTCCCCGATGATGATGATGATGATGGTAATAACCCTGCAATGAAGCCAAACATAGTAGTACTTCGTCACAAGTTCTTCATCTGTTTGTATTGTGGAGCAGCTGTAAATCACAAGATTATCAGCCCAATACCTTTTGACAATTAATTTTTTAAATCGAGCCCAATAAAAAAGCATGCCATGACTGTAGAAATCCCCTCGAGTTGATGCCTCCAGCTCCAATCCATACTCTGAAAATCGGGATATTAATATCACCCGGTACCCCTAAATTTTTTGAAATATCACTTACCTCTTACCTCTTCTGATAATTGTAAAAAGACTCTATAAATGCTCATTTGACACATAATTCATATATCAAATAAATAGAATTCAAAAATTTTTAAAAAAAGAAATGAAAGTCACTTTCTACTCTTTCCCTTTTCTCCATCATTCTCTCTTACTTGTTTTTTGGATGACTATGCAATATTTTATTTGTAAATTATAATAAATTAAATTTTGTTTATATTTTATTTTTTGTGATTATGATAAAGTGGGGTATGATTTATTTGCTTATTTTGAATTAATTTTTATAATGATTGGTACAATTTAAGCAAAGGTTGAGAAGATGTTGAAAAAAAAATAAAGTTCATAAGAAATCGGTTTTAAGCATATAGAGTAAAATTGGTGCAAGTGTATTTCTTTTCAAATATCTTTTTAATTTTTTAAATTTATATTTTTGTAGGGCATAGCATTATAATATGGTAGTACTACGACAGATTGTTTTGTAGGTGATGGTTTTCTTGAAGTGAACAAAGTGGCTTAGAAATATTTTTATTTAGCAAGTGAAAGGGTAGTTTAGGGCTTTTAAAAATTTTGTTACACAAATAACAAAAGTAAGGGAGGTAAGTGATATTTTTAAAACTTTAGAGGTGTCAGATGGTATTAAGAGAAACCTCATGGGAGTTTTCTGATATTAGCCTCTGAAAATATTGATTCTGATGAGCAGCATCATGGCAATGGAAAAAGAATTTGTGGCGCTTGTAATTGATGATTTACACCGTCTGAGCCACTCAATTCCATTTTAGTTTTCACTTCTAATAGACTAAATTACACTTTTTTCTATGATGAAAACATTGAAAAAATTTCATGAAAAACTTAATTATGCAGATATAGCTGGAAAGATAATTATGACGACCGTGACTCCAATTTGTGCAGATTTTCAAGATTGCCCTAATTTTCAATCATAAGGGGGGAAAAAGCGTTGCATTTGCCTCCATGAATTATAACCGTGTCCCTAAAGAGCTTTATTGGCAATTTACCCTGACTATTTTAATTATTATTTTTTTTTTTTGCTTTCCTTATAATATTTAATTTCTTTTCTCTCTCTTAATTTTTTTTTGTTTTTTCTGCATTCCCTCATTATATGAAGTCTATTCTGTCACTAGTAGTAATTGGTTAATCACAAGCTCTAAATTTTACATTTGTATTTAAATATATTTAATATCTAGTAAACTTTACAGTACAATAACATATATAGGGATGGCAATGGGGGTGGGTGCCCGCGGGCAACCGCCCCGCGGGGGGCTCTCGGGGCGGGGGTTGGGGCGGGGGCGGGGGGGAATTTTTTCCCCCCGTTTAGAAACGGGGCGTCCCCCGCTGACAGGGCGTCAGCCTATGCAATAATAAAACCTGCTCAAATTAAAAGTAATTTCAGTAGATAGCGGTGAGCAGGGTCGAATCCACAGGGACTGGGAGTAATTGTTTCTTTTCAAGTTCACAATGACAAGGGGGTGTTTTTCACTGGAATGGAACTAAAAACAATTTAACAATTTAACTAAAAAAAATGAATAAATAACTAGCACAAATATAACAGGAATTTAATCAGGAATAAATAAATTCTAGCCAAGGATGCAACTACTCAGGCACATTCCATGTATCCGATCATTGATGCAAGAGAGGTTCACTTAATTTATTAATAGACTAGTTATAGCCATCGAGGAACTCTAATGACCAATTTTTCCTTAATTTATAGGTGACCAAGGTACGACCATTAGTCACCCCTAACCAGAAAAGTACTCCTAGGTACGACCGTAGAAATTAATTTTCCAATTGCATTAATAACCAGAAAAACCTAGCCCTAATCAATAACACGCTACGAGGGTTATTTAAATTAGATTGCACGCTCCCCTAATGTGTAAACACACCAGTTGCCACTAATATTAATCAATCAAACAATTACGGATTTAATTGACTAAATTGGCACGAGATTAATATATCACATTGAACATCGGGCCCTTGACATCCAATTAATAAAATAATCCCATGAAAATTAAATCAGACAACATGCAAATATTAATAGATAAAGGAACACGTGAAAACTAATTAGATCTCACAGATTTTCGGGACTGCGCCGTCGAGTTGACCCTTGACTAGATGGAAGACTTAGCCACTCCGCATAATTAAATCACCACACGGATTAATAGATTGCAAAGGCATTGCGTTTTCTATTAAGAAGCAAGGAATAAAAGGTGTTTTTCCCGTTGGGGAATATCGTCGAACACCTGGCGTGTGTCAGAGGCCAGTCAGGAGAAAGAAA